ATTCACAGAATATATATTATTTCGCATTCACTATACATTTTAGGCCTATATATACCATATATTCTCTACCATTCAATTGTATGGAGTTTTTAAAATGCATTTTACGCTTTATATTGTGTTTTTTCAATACTTTTTTATTTAAATGTCAAAACTTTTATTATTATTATTACAATTGTTTGAAATTTATTTGAAGATTTATTAGACAAATAAAATGTATTTTTATTATCTTTAATAGCATTGACTATAGTTTTAATTTTTACATATTTTAATCGTTTAAATAGTAATTGCAAACCTTTTTGTATTTTCAACATTTATTATACATGTATTTAAACCAAAAGTGTATTCAAATTAATATTAAGTATCGCATTATTCCTGAATTAGTCAAGAATTGGTTTCATATTTTTGTGCTCAACGAAGACTATCGTATTTCGGTTGAAAATCATTTTACAATACAATGTATTCATACAATAGTTCTTTATATAGAAAAGGTTTAAAATTTATACAAATAGTATTCAAATAGTAAAAGCTTTTAGAAAATTCTAAAAGTAAAAGTTTTTTTGTAAAACCTTTTGTAATATTGTAAGCATTGATTGACAGAATTATGGATTAGAAAAATTATAGTTAATTAATAAATCACTCTTTAAATAATCAAACAGTTATGCGATTAATATTTATATAATTATTATAGTAAATGTCGAGAATTTCCTAGTGAACATTAGAACCAAGGTCCTTTTGCCTCACACAACCCTTCACAAACCCTAACCTCACTCTTAAGCAAACGGTATTTTATAATTACTTCCAAATAATAAAAAGCTTTTGAATAGAAATAACAAAACAATATATAAAAATATATGTCTTTTAAATAGTAATTCATTGTTGCAAATCATACATAAAAACATCATTAAATTCACGTAATGCTTAACGCTATCCCTCTAATCAAAAACACTTATCTGTCGATAAGTTTTAGAAAATATTTTAATTAAAAATTCTCGACATTATTAATACAAATGAATGATTAAAATTGTTAATATTTATTATAATTAAAAAAAACTTGACTTAACGTCGCTTTAAAGACGCGAACAGTGGTTACGAAAGTGACTACAGAATTGAGGAAAAAATTGCAAATCATATGATTTATGCAAATATAGGAAAAATTATTAATCAATAATTAAATAATAACTTAAATTGAACTTCAATTGACTCAAAATGTTTAAATATAATCCAATATCTCATTAATATTCAGCAGTTTCTCTCGATTAGAGATTAAAAATAGACAATAAAAGTGCAAATAAAGAGCGATTTTAAACACATTTTACACCACTTCGTACTCCTTCTTAATACTGCGGCTCAAAGAACACGCGAAGATAATTCCCAGCAATTGAATCACTGCCACAGCGATCGCTATTCCGCCCAATAGGGCAACAGAGCTGCGAATCTCATCCTCCAATTTCCCGATACATCCTATTGACGAATAAATCATAATATAATTGCAATAATACTAATAAAACAATGCATACCATCTTTGTGTATGAACTGAGCGGTACAAGTCATGGGAGTGGGGTTCAAGAGAGAAGGAGCGGGAGTGGTGTTGAGGACTACAACAGCCGTTTTGTTTTCGCAACAAGAATCAGGGTAATGATCAGCCGTCACATTCTTGTTCTCCAGCCAATCGGTGTAATTGGCGGCTCCGCAACACTTCATATTCTTCTGGATGTCGTCCAAAATAATATTAATATCGGATCCGTTCTCAACGGTGTTGTACTTCTTAATCGCCTCATCAATTCCCTTCTCGGCCGCTGTCCTCAACTGTTAACCCATCCAACCATTCATTCAATCGTTAGTAAAAACAACAATAATACAAAACATACCTTTGATTTGAATGCGAAGATAAGTCCGGCGCCAATCAACTCAATCAGAAGTATCACCAAAATTATTGAACTGAACTATAAATACAAGACAACACATGATATATACTGTTTGTGTGGCCATCAGTGGCGTTGACGAAGACATACCGATGTAAGCATACATGAGTTCTCTTTGATAGCACCGCAACAGCCGAGGAATGCGACGGCGAAGATGGCAAAGCCCACCACAACCAGAGCGATGGCCACGTTGTGCGGCGCGTCCTCCAGAACCAGATGATAGTCATCGATCTTAGCGATGGTCTTGAATCCCGAGTACAACAACAGTATACCGAAGATCTGCCCAAACAAAGAGATTATGAGATAATCGCTTAGCGATTGGTTGTTGAAGAATGCAATCTCAAGACACTCACCACAAACACCAGATTGAATGCGAATAACAGGTATTTAACGCAAGACATTCCTCCGGAGACCATATTTGCTGATTGTTTTGTTCACTCAAATGAAAGACAACAACAAAACGACGTATCGATCAGTGATTTGCGACAGAAATGAGTGACTCTTTCAATGACTGAAACAGTATTGCAGACAAGCGTTGAAACCAAACGATCGCTTTGTTTACGATATGATAACCATTTGATTGCAATCACTCTCTCCTACAGTCACTGTATGTATGCGTCGATCACTTGACAACAATTCCCCCATAAATAGCACTCTTTTTGCTCATTAATACTGTGTTTGCATTCAATTTCACATTCACTCAAACACTGCACTCACTGTACTATAGTTGTAGTGAACGTCTCTTTTCGTTGATTCACTCGTCATATGAGTAGTGATTCACACAATAGATGCCACTCTTTCTCTCCCTCTCTTCACTCCCGCATCCTTTCGCACCTCTCTCTCTCCCTCTTTAACTAACCATAACTATCCTTAACTATTGACAACTAATTAGTTAATTGTTGTTAATTGAATTTGCAATAATTGTATGGGAAAATTGTAAATGAGCAAGGTTAGCCTAGGTTACGATACAAATCTTATACTTATTCTGTTGTGTATTTGTGTGTAAATTGTGTGGACTTGTGTTTAAGAGATAGTGAATCTCTGTCTGCCTTTGAAATGAACGATTAGATTGCGGTAAATGTACTCATAATGTAATGATTGACTTTTCGAGACCACAACTTCGTTAAAACTTCAATATTTTCTTTCCCACAATTAAAATACAAATATAAGATATCGAAAGTAAATGTAATGAAACAAAGTTTTGCAGACTTGATATTATGATAGTATGCAAAATGTTGTATAATATGCGGTATAATATCGATAGTGGTCTCAATTTATTGCTTTGATTGAAAATAAAAAGCAATTTATATTTAAAATTTTTTTATGAAAATCATACGATTTGCTTAAAAATGAGGCGACAATAGGCTGTCTATGATTACATAGAATACATGCAACTAATGCTTATTTGCATTTCATATTTCGTTGTCATTTGATGTAAGAACTGACCCAATGTTTGCATTTTAAATACTGTATTTGCAGTAATGCTTTACGTTTGAATGGTTGGCACAACTTTTAGTTTTATTAAGAATTAAAAGTTTATTGAATAAAAGTAAAAGTTTTATGTTTAGGTGTATGTAAAAAGAGATAGTAAATAATTGAGGTGTGATGAAAATTCAAACAATTGAACGCCAATATGCATTACAAACGTTTAAACATTGATTGTGTGCAAAAATAAACAATTTTCAATTTTGTTACAAAAGTATTTTACGAATTACAAAAAGTTATAGACCAGTGAACCCGATGTTCCCTCCCCTACCAATGCCCTCCCAGTGCCCCTCCGACAGCATATTCTGGGCTCTCCTATGGCTCACAAACGTGTTGAATGCGAAACGCCTCAGAGGTGGTAGAATTTGTACCACAATTGCATTAATCATTTGTATTGTAAACATTTGGCTAAATAAATAAATATTGAAAATTGATTTCAAGATTGTGTGGTAACTAATTCAACGCATATATCATGCTTTGAGAGCTATGTTTTTGGTTATTTTGGTGCTAACTTCGAGAAAACACTTGTAACTGTTTGAATAAATGCTTTAAATTATGGATATATGCTATTAATTACGTGAGAATTGATACTAATATTACGATTCTGTTTCAATTCAGTTATCAAGAAATGTCCAAAAATAGGGACTCGTTTCTGTGATTTTGCGCTTATTATCAGTAATTCATAACTAATATAAGAGGAGTATTGATGTTATTCTCAAATATCACTGTTGTTTGCAATTAATGTACAAATTGTGTGATAAGAAGAATTACAGGATATGGTATAGACTTTATAAATAAACATACAATTAAATTGTAATTATCTTCAAATTGCTAATACTTTAAATTTGTGAAAATTTATCATTATTAATTTATTATCCAATACATTGAGACGAGTGTAAATTCTGGGATTTCCATAAAGAATATTCTTTGGACACAATATATTTCTTAGCATTTATTCATAATCTTAAGTCATAACAAATAGTCATAACAAATAGTAAATCTTATTCACAGTTTAATATTCAAGTAATTGCAAGTAATAGCAAATTTATTAAGAGTTAAACAATTTAGTTATTCATAATTTAAAACAATGTTTGCAATAAAGCATTGCATTACTATTATTATAAAACATGATTGACATTCTTGTATAATAAATGTAATACAGTATATGATTCACTTCAACATTGTGTATGCGGACTATTTTGCCTAAAATATTTTTAGTTGTATTAGAAATTGTCAAATAATTCATCAACTAATTCAAAAACTTTATATTAATTTACACAAATTCAATTAAAACTGTACTTTTAATATTATTACAGATAGAACATATTGTTAATGTACATCTACAGTTACATTTAACTTGTTCATCTAATTTATTCTTGCAAATTTTTCACTCTGATTATAATTTTCCGTATTATTTTATTTCATTATGGCCAATTATATAATTATACAATTATATCTGTATAATTCAAATTGATATCTATATTAACAACTAATTATGCATTATTAAATTGAATACAATTATCAATGATATATGTCAAAACAATGTGTTCTATACTATGAAACAGATATAAAAAGGGAAAATTGCTGTCATATTTAAATCACTTTTTCGTTTCTTCGAAAACAGCTTCAAAAATAGTCTTCTATTAAATCATAAAACTTTTTTGTTGGAAGCTTTTGACATTTTCACATTAAAATGCATTCAATATAATAAACAAAGGATTGTTTCCATTAATATCTCTATGCATTACGTGATGTATTACTCAATTCATTCATTGCTTTGTATTTTATGCAAATGTTTTGTTTTTATTTTTGGATAAATTCATGATTTATTAACTTTCGTATCAATTCATGACAGACTACCATAAAAATTCATTAAACAGTAATATAAGCATTTGAATTACAGGAATTGCATTTAATGAGGGTGAATTGGAAGTGTTTGGGTAGTACTGGATATTGAATGTGGTCTATAAAGTGAGCTTAATCTTCGTCCCAATAAGGTATATGAGGGCTAATATTGGACATGGATTTAGTGAATAAATCTTAGCCACGCTCTCCTCTCACCCCCAATCTCAGCACTACTTCACTACACGTCCTGTTTATACACCAAAAGTCACAACTTTTTCCGTTTCATTACAGGCTTAGAGACGAGGAGTTAATGCAGTCAGAGATGGCAGTCCTTTATATAGGCGTCAAAAGCCATTGACATTCAGTTAAAGTGCAGCACATCTTCAATACACAGTTTGCCATCAATTATGCATACAGTTTGCACTCACTATACATACCATTGATATTAAATTCATATATTTCTAAATATTTACACAATTATATTGTCCATAATTTAGACACAATTGAGACATAGATTTAAACACTAAATATAAGTCATTACACGACATGAATGTGAGTAATGGCAGTAAATATATGGCAAATGTCTGTAACGAGTGGTTAAGTGTAACACAAGAGACAAAAACCTGAATCCAGTGAATGAGTGAATGGTTTGCATTGAAAACCATTTTGTGTTTGATTTGTAAGACTTTTTTGGATAACAAAACAAATCCTATTTATTGAGTGAATGGATGTGTTTGTGGTGTGAATGCAATGAATCCAACGCTCTGTTGATATGTGCGGAACCGATTCGGTGATGATATCGTCAACACTCAACGCCTCTCTCCAGACATGAGACCATAGGACTCAAGAGTGAAGAATGAAGACAAAAGCGGTGACAATGTATTGGTTTTGTTGGACACAAGTGTTGATAGGGTTTGCGGCGGTCGTCGGCG